ACCACAGTACGCGCAATATGAAGCTGCCCTTAGACAAGTACAGCGGAGATCCGGACGCGGCGGTAGGCTCATGGGTTTTGCTTGAGAGCGTCAGTAGGGCGGGAAGGGTACGCACCCCCAACGTCACTCTTGTGGACCAAGACGGTTGACAGTTGCCCCATGGGGGGGTGTTTGCGGGTATGAAACTCTGCGTCGAGTGCAGTTGAGTAGTGCACCAATTGAGCAATCGATGATGAAATAAGAACAAGAACACCGTTTCTGGAGACAACTGGACGACGAAATAAGAACCTGGCAAATAAGAACTTGTGCTCGGCTTGGGGCAGCCAACAAGAAGCGAGCCTCGCTCCACATAAGATGTTCTTAAGTGCGGGCCGGTTCTGTAGATGCACACTATGAGCTACGCGAGCGAGGTTTCTATTCAATGCCATTTCCACCTCTTCCCGGTCGCATGACCCCCTCTCGTCGGTCCTCCTCCGTTTCGAGCCGGCCTTCCGTGGATGCTTCCTCAACCTCTCCGGCTTTCTTCTTTCCGTCCATCGTCGGCTGGCGCTTCACTGCTTCCTCCCTCACTCGCCGGCGCCACGGTGCCATGAAGAAATACCACCCCTCCCCTCGACCTCAGCGTGTTGTCTCTCCTTCATCCTTCCGGCCTTTAACTTTCACACCCTTTACTTCTCCTTTGTCATGCCGGCCTTCTCCATGCCCCCCCCAGCGTGGTGGTCTCGAGGCTCCTGGCAGCACGCGTATTTTCATGCAGAGACAGGCACCCGGCTTGCTGGTGGACTCTAGTCTAGAGGGTCAAGAGTGCGGCGAACAATAGACGAGCTCCCGCAACCTTCCCCGGGTGCCCGAGAGTGCCATCGCCCTTGCGTCAAGTGTCGTACGAAGAGCTAAGAGGTTCAAGTTAAACCCTCCTTCTTTGTCACGAGGAGCAACGGTGGTTCGGAAGACAGGCTCCACACACCTCGGACTTCAGTGTATCCCCAGTACCATGGACGGTTTCACCTTCCGTTTTTCAATTGTGAAGAAATCACTCTTGTGTCCGGTCGTCCAGCCGATAAGGTTGAAATTGATGCCTCCGCAGAATACATCGCTTTCGCTGTTCAGGATTGGCTTTGTCTCAACTCGCAGTTGATGTTTAACCTCGTGTCTCCCTCACACCAAGGCCCATTCCGTGGTACAGAGTTTCGGAGTGGCGACGACAGCACTCTCCATCTCTCCCGCTGCGAGCGGGAGTTTGTCCAATAGCACACGCAGTCACGCAGTGAAGCATGCATACATGAGGAATTCGTCCCCGCTTCCGCTGTCAAGCCTGAAACAACGAGCAAAAAAACAAAGCCAGCTTGGGACGGAGTACATAGCAACGCCGACGATATTCGTCGGCTTGCTTTCAATAATGTGTCCAACAGCACACGTACTCAGACGGTAAACTTGAATGAAGGTGATTGTACCGTCTCGGAGACAGTCCCTCGCCAGAGGCAAACCGGGTGTGTGTCCCGTCTCAAATATTTTGCGTAGCGCCAACCCAAACACCGTTCGATGTGTACGGCTGACGAATCAAGCAGGGTCAAGTAGGAAGGATTGTTTTTCCTGTACGATCATTTCATGTTTGTCATCCTGCGGGGTGCATGTTTCCAGGTTCACACGTGAACAAGTTCCCTTGAGGAAGTGTGGTGTGGATACACACCGGTTCAACCTCTTGTTGAGAGGCTGAAGCGTACGGAGAGTTGTGGTGCGAGTCAGGGGGAAGCGAGCCTGCTGCAGCAGCAGGGTTCAGCGTCCATCATACGCTGCGTCTATGTGTGGCAACACCCCGAAGGTAGATGTCCACAGGTCATCTGACGGTCACAATCTACGACAGTCTGAGGTGGCCTTCACGGAGAGCGAAATGCATACGCAGTGTTGCAGGACCGTCGATGGCATCCAGCTGAACTCATGGTTGGAGACGAACAAAGGGACTGTTTGATTCGTTGTGAGTGCTCCCTGGAACCTTTAGTGCCCACTGATTGGTTTGGGTCAACGGTTTTGCGAGATCCCAGAATGCGAGTAGTTCACGTCAGCCATACTGCATGGACTAGGGTACCAGAGAGACCAGCGGAACCGGGCAAGAGAGTGAGCGGTCGCATAAACTCGCAGGAGTGAGTGCCGTCTTACATAGCGCCCCTTTGAAACCGTACGACTCTTCGCGGTTTCACAACCGCACGTCTACGCCCCTTTGCAGCACCGCCATCCGCTCGTGGCAGCGGCGCGCCGCGCACCCTATTTCTTGACACGGTTGATTGTCTTGCACATTCAGGCACATATTCGTCCTCCCGACTACCGCATCTCATAGATGCCGGGCAAAAACATGCTCGACCTCAAAACCAAACCCGCCCCCAAAAGACATACCGGACAGCTGCCCACCGAAAAGTGCCACTGCTACTGCCGCATCTAACACATTGACTACATGTTCCCGCCCCCCGAAATAATTGCAGAGCATGTTTCAAAGGTAGCTGGGTTCCCAAAATATAAAGGGTTTACATCATGCCCGGCATGCCGCCCATGCCTCCCATTCCGCCACCCATGCCCCCTCCGCCCATCGGCGAAGCCGGTGCTTCCTCTTCCGGCAAGTCCGCCACCATCGCCTCGGCGGTCATGAGGAGAGCTGCAACGCTCTGGGCGTCTACCAATGCCGTGCGCACAACCTGCATCCCAGAAGCGTGGGGCCGGTCGTGCGGAGGGTGGCGGTGACAATAAGTTCCCGATTAGTTTACGTGTGCCTATTTGAAACCATTCTACAGCTGTCAGGTCGGGAATGCATACTGTGCTTCTGCGACAGAGCACGGAGCGAGAAAACATTTGCCAAGGTAGCAGATACAGCCTTGTTGGCGAATTGACTTGAGCAACCGTCGTTTCTCGCCCAACCCGCTTCCAAAAAACACTGCACCACATTACACGCGCTGTCTGCGCCAAGTAGGCGTGTTCGATCTTGTCTGGCACACATCGAAAAGACAAGGCTAGCACGCTCGAGAAATCAGGAGGGCACCTACGCACGTCACGGGAGGCTTGGGGGTCGAACACGGGGCTAGCGCAGCGGGGGTTGGGCTCCCAAATCGACTGGTGTTACACCCGAAATAGTCCCCCCCGGTGCAGGATGAGAGCGTCAAAGAACCACAACGGGACCACGTATGACGAGTGAAAACTACCGTGTGTGTGATTTCGCGCCATGCACGAATCTCCGCAGAAAACAAATCCGCGCCACGTGAGCTGCAGCACCGAATCGTCACGGTCCAACACGGCAGCTTCCTGCTTCCTGGACAGCCCCCGCAAACAGCGCGACAACACCCTCGACCTCCGTACCACATACACAGTGTGACCATGTAGTGTTCCCAGGCATCTCCTGTTTTCAAGTCGCAGTGAGAACTACACATTTTGATTCGTCAGCCGATTAACTCGATCGATGCAATTTTCAAAACACACACACACACACACATAAATCGCCCCCCCAATTCTGCAGGACCCCCGCTTCACACCTTGGTAGGGTCGATGATTCCTGCTTGGATCATGTCGCAGTACTCGCCGGTGGCCGCGTTGTGGCCCCACTTCGGGTCCTCGGCCTTAAGCAACTCCCCGACCACCACGGCTCCCTCCACGCCGGCGTTCATCGCGATCGTGTGGACGGGCATCCTGTGACGGGGGGAGGCGAGGAAAAAAGTCAAGTGTGGATCATCAGGACCCTGGATCAACAACAAGACAACCGCTTCAAAAGATTTGCGGGATAGGGACGACTACTGTCGCATTGCTGCGGTGGAACACGAGCAGGACTTCGAAAGCTTTTGACCGTCATGAATGTCACACCCCACCCACAAGACGACACATCTGGTGACAACACATTGTTCGACCCGGAAAAAAAAAAACGCCAACACCGGCGGTGTTTCGACACTGCTGGGTGGTATCTCGGTGACCCGTTGTGTTTATCCCCGAATACTCTCTGGTCTTGGGCTCATGTTTCGCCGCAAAAAATATCATCGCCGATCACCAAAGGGTGGTACAGTATTTTGTGAGGAACCGCGGTTGCACGGGGTGAAAAGAAGTGCGCAAGCAACCTCGCTTGGAGGCGGCGACTACCAACCTGAGCGCCTTCTCGATGATTTCAACCCCGATCTTTTGGTCCATGTTGGCGCAGGAAGCCTTAGTTGCCTGGGGTATGGGCGACGGCAACAATGCAGCAAGAGGCGTAAACGGTGCGGTGGGTGAGCGAGGTAGGCGAGGCGCAACAGGGTGAACCAAGGAACAGCCTGTAACATGTGAAAAAGATAAGAATGGTAATTCGAACGACATCAACTCCAAACGAATGGCAAGCATCACGTACATATTGCGAAGTCGCGGGGGTTATTGAGATGGAGCCCCCTCCGCCATGGAAGAGAGGGCTACATCTCCGCAATCTCCGACAGCGCTAAATCAAGAACCACTAGAACAACCAACGTGGTGGTTCAGTGATATTGCCTACAGGCACAGGAGCGGCCGCGGTAGGCAAAGACATGGGGACTGCAAACCCCAACGACTCCTAACGCCAGGGTATGTCCTACCCCCATATGCCCTCTTCGGACTGCTTAAATGAGCTGCCAAGAGTCCTGCGTTCATGCGGCCTTATTCGCTCCGTCGAAAGGCTTGAAGCACAAACCAATGCTAGATAGAGCACATGCTCGACCAGCCAAGCCCCGACACCCGCGTTTCGCGACAGAAGTGTTGCAAGGGCGAAGTGCTCTCACGTGCATGGTTGCGTCATCAACGATACTACAATCTTCATTTTCAAACCGCACAAACAAACGACGGACTTTTCCTCTCTACTGTTGGGGTAAGTAACGCACTCAACCACCCACCTCCAGCTGTCGAGACGCCCACAGAAGTGCGCTGCCCCCGCCCGGCACGATTCCCTCCGACACCGCTGCTCGGGTGGCGTTAAGGGCGTCCACGAAACGGTCCTTCTTCTCGCCTACCTCCACCTCCGAGCTGCCTCCAACCTGACAAAGCGGTCGCGGGGCGTCGGCGGCATTTCAGCAAACGGGCAGTGCCGATTCTCGACCCGCCACAAAAACACAGCTGCACGAATACCACATGCACTACTTACGACAAGCATGACGGTAGGGATTCACTCGGTATACATAGGGTTTGTCCTTGTTTCAAGCATTGTTCACCACAGCCGAGGGGACCCTTGAATGGCCCCAGAATTTTCGAAGCTACGTCTTGCCGATTCCGTTAAGCGATAACGTCGTCTTCGTATGTATGGGAGCATTTTCGTGCTCATTTGTATTGCGCGCCACCGATCTCCCTTGAGTTTGGCCTCTAAAATAACGCCAAATTTCCGTGTAACGCACGCCCTCGCATTGAAATACGCACGATGACTGAAATCACAGCGTGTGCCGAGGCCCGTGTCCCCCAACTCACACACCCCGCAAGCCGCTTGTGCGCCGTAAGAATATGAGTCGCAAAACAGACAACACACAATACCTTGATGACGGCTACGCCGCTGTGCAGCTTGGCTAGGCGCTCCTCCAGCTTTTCCTTCTCGTAGTCGGACTTGACGCGGGCGATGCTCTCCCGCAGGAGGCTGCACCTTTCCTCGATGCCGTCCCGGGCACCTGCGCCGTCGAGGATGATGGTGTCGTCTTTCGACACCTTCACCTGGTGGAACATGATGGCGTTGAGTGTAAGCGACAAGCGGTTGTCAGACGGGGTTACAGAAGTTGGGAACATTTTTTGAGACCAGGAATGTTTTGGAGGCAACTGAAAAGCGCGAAGAGAGGAACACAGAACGACCGTATAGTCTTGGCGTCCAGAACGGGATACGACGTAGACACATCCCACACGAAAAACTCACGAGCTTGCAGGTCCCGCAGTGGTCCGGAGTGGCGTCCTCCAGCTTCAAGCCGACCTCCTCGCTGATGACCTGCCCACCGGTGAGCACGGCGAGGTCCTGCAAGGTCGCCTTGCGGTTGTCCCCGAACCCGGGGGCCTTCACAGCGCATACCTGTTTTCAAGTGTACATATTGTGCATTTTTCGGGGATGTCGACGAGATACGGATCGTATCGAAGTCACATCCTAGATACAGTAGTGGGCCCTCTATAATAGTGCCGGTGTTTTCGGCTCGCACACACTCAAGCATCAAGTCGTTTTGTACTTTCAATAGTGCCACTGTTCGGTATGGTGCCGGAAAGAATCTCCGGACACATGCCGGCACCATACAGGGCCCACAACTGGATGATTGATTTAGGGGATGTCGAAGAGACGAGGATTACACCGAGCGCATATCCCAGCCGCATGGATCATGTCAAATTTATTATTCTGTTCCCTTGGGCATACACCCTAAAAGGCCACCAAACGACAACACCCTAAAAGGCCACCAAACGAAGCGTGCCGCAAAAAGAGTAGCCTCCTTCATTCCATCCGGCGGAGCGACATCCCCGGCCTCCGTCCAAATTAGTGCAACGCTTCTTGGCGTCCTAGAAAAAAGCATCACACGCGCCCCAGCAAAAATATTCACCAACACGCCGCAAACGGACCGTCGATCGGTGGCAATGCTGGCGAATCCGAACCACTCCTTGTGCTAACCCGCAACCAAACCCCCTATGAAAACTAATCCCCAACCCACTTGAAAACCCAACGCACACCAAAAAATTGCGTCTCCGACGAAAAGGAAAAGTAAAAAAGCAACCTCAACAACACACGTCCAATTTATGCATGCATGAGGCAAATTTTCGACGCTTCGTGCCGGTGCAACCGTTTCGACGTCTGTGTATACCTCGCAAAGGCTGCACTGTGTTGAGAATGTACGGGGGAGTTTGATTCGCCAGTCCCACGAAGAGTCGCATTACAGCACCAACGACCGAAACGATTCTTCCGCTTCCGGTTCCTCAACTCTTCCAAGATTCAAATCAACGACCATGAGCGTCTGTTCAATACTGCGTCAAAACCATACTTGAAAACAATATGTTGTACTTGCTGCGAAACTGTCACCGTCGCCCAACACCAGGATCCGCAGCTTCTTCTGACTGCAGGGGTGTGAACCATGACCGCAGGCAGCTGAGGAGCCCTCGACGGCACAACATGACGGAGTTGAGATAACCCGAGGACCAGCACCGTCACCATCAACGGCTAATGTGCATGGTGATTCTTGTTGCCTTCACGTGCCAGGTCCCCCGTCATTTGTGCCCTCAGTCGTTCGTCTCAGCTGCGGTCATCCTCGGTACCAGCTCCAGCAGAAGAATTTGCTCATTTTGTTGCCGAACTCTCGGCGTGCGGTTTTCCCAACACTACAATAATTTTGCTGTCAGCACACGCATAGAAAACACCACCAGCGCTGCCTTCCCAGGACGTTGATATGTACCGGAGAGAGGAGAGAGGAGAGCAGAGAGGCAGAGGGACCGTGGAGCCCTCCATGGGGGCGTCTCCCAACTGCCCTACCAACACAAATCGCAAATCCGCATTACGCCCCGAATTTCGTAGATTCGTATCGACTGTGTTGTACCCGAAACACGAAGGAATGCGAGGACTCCGTCTATCATGTACCGACATCGGAGAAGGCTGTGCTCTCGATGTCGGTGCTGACACGTCCAACTATCGTCGCGCCTACCTCTCGGCATCTAGCGCGCTGAGAACGTCAAAAACTACACGCCTCTGTGAGAGTTTTTCGGTCCATTGAGGGTGCACAGCACTGCTCCGCATCGAGTCTCCCTGACCTGACGACATCAGCCCTCAACTATCCGCCTTCGCAGCGTACGAAGGGTGTCGCGGCCTTCCACGACGTCCTTTGAGACAACCTTCAAAATCAGTTGTTGCCAACAACGGCTATCGGAAGTATGCATACGTACGTCCGGCGAATACACATCGGAACCGCCAAAGAACGCACGCCGACGACAGCACCAACGATCACCTACCTTGATGCCGGCGCGGAGCTTGTTGACGACGAGAGTAGCCAGTGCCTCCGATTCCACGTCCTCCGCCACGATTAGCAGCGGCCTCTGGGACTTCACCGTAGCTTCAAGAAGAGGGATGATCGAGTTGATCGTCGACACCTTCAAACAACAGTCACCGGGTTGATGAACGACACACGGGGACGAGGTGGTAGGCCAGTCCGTGGACGAAAATGATCGTAGGCCGTGAGAGAGAAAGTGGGACAGGGAGCACAAAACACTGCTGTGTGACCTTCCTCGTTTTGTGACCCCTGCATACGTCAACTACATATCACATCAATATCGAAACGTGAAGACTGATGGCAAAGCACGTGGGACGCAACACACACACATTAGCTGCAAGTCATGGCCTTTAGAAAGCGTTCTGTGTTTTCAGTCGGACTGATAATGGCGACGATTCCTTGGCCTGGCGGTTAGCGCGATCGATGCTCACGTCCCTGGGACATCCACGGTGGTGGTATCAACAGCCCGCGCCCCACTCACCTTCCGCTCCACGATGAGGATAAGGGGGTTCTCCATCTCGCACATCTGGGTCTTGTTGTCGGTTACGAAGTACGGCGAGATGTACCCGCGGTCGAACTTCATCCCCTCCACCACCTCGATCTCGTTGTCCAAGGTCTTACCGTCCTGTCGGATGCGGGGATACACACAAAAACCCGGCCCACCCGATGCACGGATTTATTTAGAAAGCAGACACACCCAGGTGGGTTAGCATGGTGCCTTGGGGTTGGGCGGGGGGAGTCATTGAAACGTGCGGCAGGTCTCTTGGTGCTGGTTCGAAGGATGGCACCAACGAGCAGCACAGATCTACAAACCGACAATCCATGCGAACGCTTTGTGAAGACGGCGCACAATAAACACGACGAACACACGCGAAAGGAATGTGAGTGCAGCAGGGGGACTTCAACCTATCCAACACCAATGTTGCACGAGTAAACCAGCCTCCCGGCTACGGAATGCGGCACATGCACACGCCACCACAGCAGTGTGGCTGTCCCTGACACACCCATGCCTGATAGCGTGATAAGGCTCACCTGCACCGTGATCACTCCCTCGTTGCCCACACGCTCCATGGCGGAAGCGATCAGGTCGCCGATCTCGGTTTCGCTGCAGCACAAGCGAGGAGAGGGGACCACCGTTAGCCAATCAGCAGTCACGACAATATTTTGTGTATCGCTTTAGGACCTCTTCGTGTGTGTGGGGGGGGGGCTACATACGGCCGGGAAAATCAAACAGTACTGTGGGTGGGATGGTAAGCGACATGAGGTCCACGACCGCACCTGAAAGTCGATTCATGACGATAGTGAGTGAGACCAAAAGCAGTCTGCCCGACCGCTCGGCCACAGCGCGGCGTTCTTATGGCGGTCTATCGTAGTGTGGCCGCGACGGCGGGTCATGTGAAGGCCCGCCAACTGGATGCACCACACCTGGAGAAACATCCACTACTATCAGCCAATATTCAAAGCAACACTCACAGTGCCGCACTCCGTGCTCATGCCTTCTGGTTCTTGTGAGTACGATAGCAGCGGTAACTTCGGCTTCGGAGAAGAGCGTAGAGCGACTGAACCTCTTCTTCACCTCGACTGCTACACCAGAAGCCGAGACTTTCCCCGTAAGTCAGACGAGCGATTCCTACGCGTGGGAAGGGGTCGAACCCGCGTGCCAAGCACGCCGCACGCTAAACAACTCTCACATGTGAAGTCATGGTAGTCAGTAGCAGCACACCTGTTGGCAGAGATGGTCCCAACCTGCGCCACTTCCTCCTTTGTGGAAATGGGCTTGCTAATGTCCGAGAGCACGCTCACCACGTGGTCCGTGGCCAGCTTGATCCCCTTACGAAGGTCCATCGGGTTCATCCCCGCCGCCACCGCCTGGAGGGCGGGAGCACGACGAACAGTCCGCGGACGTGTTCGTCATTACAGCGGGGGGGGCTCAATAACGCCGGAGCGAACATGGCGAGAATCGATAGGGGCGGCGCTATGCAATGCACAGAATAGCTTGGTGATTCCGTCGTTGTCCTGGAATTTGACCGGCGCAATACTGGGCCACCGCCCAACCGGCGTTGTTAACCACCCCCCCCCACTGTTAAGGGTGGTTCTGCGTGCCTATTGTCGAACCAGTTGGTTTCGAACGTGGTCATGTGATCGACCTTCAACAGCCACGCGAGGAGTGTCGCCGACAAAGGTTGAAGACTGACGACCAGCTGAGTGCCACGGCCGAAATGGGGACGGCCAAACTACCAAACTTCCGCCCGTGGTCGCGAGATGAATTACTGCTGTTGTTGTCGCAGGAATCGTGGCTGCACCCTTCACTGCGCCAGCCAAGGATCAAGACCAAAACAATCATCCAAAGGTCGCATACTGTCGGGTTGGAGCGTTGTAACGCGACGATGCACACGCAGTGCGCACAGAAAAGAACGCCGTGGTAGACGTTGAAACAAGACGAGGCTCCGGGTACCTCGCCCCGACAATGGAAGAATGGCGTTACCACAACACGATGCTCCAGATCTCCCCGCCCTAGCATCAAAGAACGACTTCGTAGCAAGACGATGCCTCGACCCCACCCGTACAGACCACGCTGCCACCACCACCACGCTAGCGCCGAGGGAACAAGAAAAAACAACTCAACTCTTATCCTCCGATGCTCCTGTAGACGATGGGTAGAGAAGAAGTTGATCTGTTGTGAAAATAAATAAATAAAGTGTGAAGCTTGTCTGGACCATGTATCGTACCTTGCATCCTTCCCGGAAAATTGCCCGAGTAAGCACGGTCGCGCTAGTCGTCCCGTCTCCCGCCGCGTCGTTGGTCTTCGAGGCCACCTGCGATATGGAAGAGAGCGGACAAAACCAGCACCGTTCCGCCAAGCAACCAACAACCAACAACGGGCGGTGAGAAATGGGAGAGCGTGGAAAAACAGCAGTGCGAATGGGCGCCTATTGCCGTGCGAGAGTCCAACCAACGACCAACAGCGTGCTGTTTGTGGCTCGCAGCACGTCAGGGGGGAGAGGGGG